CCCCCCAGTTTTACATGTTACTAAGAAAACAGGAACCTGATTTTCAAGTCAAAATAGTCATAAACATGTCTTCTTTATTGTAACAGAAGTATTGCAGAGAGGGCAACACTGCAAGTCAAGTACGAAGATATTTCTCCAGAACCTCACAAAGCTTGTAGATGTTAAGTCTCTGTGTGGTTTGTTTTCTCCTTTCGGGAAGGTTCACTGTTGTGAAATAGCTGTCAACGACAGCGGGGAACCACTAGGGAGTGGTATGGTGCATTTTGAACAAGAAAAAAGTGTCACCACAAGCATAAAGAAGATGGACGGTGTCTTAATGGATGACATGAAACTGTAAGTTAGAAAAAAATGAGCAAAAATGTACAGCTGAGGGGAGGGGTGGGGTCATGAAATTTTGTATCCTCAAGTAGGGGAGGGGAGAGGAACTGGTAGTTTATGTCAGGAAGGAAGTGTTTTGGTATCTACTCAATGTAACCAAAAAGACCAAAAAAAATGGAGAAAACCCTTGAAGCACTGGAGAGAACAGCATTGAAGCAACACCAAGTTCGGGTATCAAACTTGCATCACATTGTTGACAGATGATTATTTGCACAGATAACCATACTTCCCTGCCCATGTATAAATCTTTTTACATCAATTTCAGATCTGTTGGAAGATGCATATCGAATGATAAGTATCAGAGTAAATTATCAAAAAATCTCAACACAAACTATGTCTACGTATATTATCCTGGAGATGATCTTACAGAGGGACACTTGAGAAGTTTATGTGGTAGTAATGACAAGATTTTGAGCATCGAATTGTTGACTGATGGTGATGGTAAATCCAGTCTTGGATTTGTTGGCTTTTGGAGTAACAAAGATGCTTCACAGGTAGATCTTTGGAGTTAATTATAATATATGTAACAGTGAAAATGGCTTAAGCTTACCCCCCCCCCCCCCCCCACCCAGGTGACATTAATGGTTTCATTATTTGAATATCGAAATTCTTATTCTTTCAGAGCTTACGAAGACTCAAGAATTAAAAATAATAAGCAATTTAAAACTCTAATTGTGATTGGATTATTCCATATAAGGAACACCATAATCCAATCAGAATTCAGTTTTCAATTGATTATTATCTCAAATCCTGAGTCTTCTTGTTCTTGGAAAGAATAATAAATTCAAATATTTGAATAATGAGACCATTAATGGGGCCCAGGAGGCTAAGCTTGAGCTGTTTTGACTGTCAAAGTCACACTTGTTTACACACAACATAAAAGCTGGTATATGGGAAGTAAATTGTGAAGTAGACACTGTCTAAACATGTTACTTTTTTGACTCCTTTTTTGACTCCTTTTTTGACTCCTTTTTTGACTCCTTTTTTGACTCCTTTTTTTGACTCCTTTTTTGACTCTTTCATTGATTAGACTGCGTTCATAACGTATGGCAGAGGGGAAGGGGAGGGGGCAGGTGAAATTGAGGGGGGATAGGGAAAATTTTGGTAGGAAAAAGGGGGGATGGGCAAATTTTTATCATAAAAATGGGGGATGCACAATTTTTGGAAGAAGCTACAAGCCTTGCTTAGGGGGGATCGTATTTTTTTGCATGACTTTAGGGGGGTGTTAAGAATTATTCTGGACATTTCAAATTTTCACCTGCCCCCCACCTGCCATACATTATGAACGCAGCCTTAGAATATTCTGGATTTATGGCAAAATATGAAATTTACTTTCTAGGCCATTGAATTTCTGAATGGGAAACTTATCGATGACAAAATTTGTATAGCAAGACAAGTAAAAAAGAAAGAAAAAATATTAGCTGATGCTCTGTCAGATACTAGAAAAAAGAAGGCAAGAAAATCTGCACTCCCAAGACCATCTATTTCTACAGTGTATGTTTCTAACATGGATGCCGTTGTTAACGAAGAAATCCTGACAGAGGAGTTTTCCGCTTATGGAGCAGTCCATGGTGTTAAAATCATCAGGAATGCAAATGGAAGGTCAAGAGGTATGATGATCATAATGTTAATGATGCTGCTGATGAAATGATGAATGGGATGATGATGGTGAAGGTACTGCAATGATGATGCCATGATGATGATGTTGTTGGTGATAATAATGATAATGGTCTGCAACAATGATGGTGATGATGCATGATGTGCTTTTATTAAAAATTATCATCATCATTATCATCATGACATTGTTTACCGAGAGCAGGGTTTGTGCTACTCCTTGAACTCCTTGAAAACTCCTTGAATTTAATTAACTTTTTCAAGGGCACTTGAAAAGCTCTTGAATTTTACGATTTTAGCAAAACTCCTTGAAAACTGCTTGCATGGTTCTGAAATAGATCTAGTCATAGAAATAGACCATGTGCAACCACCGTGTAAAACCTTGGCATAGTTAGCTGAACATACTCCTTGAAAATTCATTTTGGGTCCTTGATTACTCCTTGAATATCCTTGAATTTTAAGTGGTTACCTCAGCACAAACCCTGTGAGAGTAACTGAAGTATCGAGGAATTTACTAGCATCTAAGTTTCTCTTCAAGGTTGTGGTTTTTTGTACTTCACATCAGAAGAAGATGCCATATTTGCAGCCGCTATGATGAATGGCAAATGGCTGGTCTCTAGAAACCTGGTAGTTTTGTATGTGGGGAAGACAAAAGGCAAACATCTATTGATCAAGAACTTGGAAGACTCAATAGATGGGGCTTTCCTTAGGAAAGAGTTCTCAGCTTTTGGAGATGTGAATGAAGTAAAGATTATGAGGAACCATGATAATTCAATAAAAGGTAATGACATAAAGGCTTGTCCTGAGTTGTGTAAATCAAACGTCAAAATGACCATCTAACATTAAAACTAACTAAATGTATGCACTGCTCGATACAAAATCACAAGCAAAACAGGCAAAAGATTGCTGTCATTCAAATATTATAAAATTGGTAGAGGCTAAGGTAAATTTACCTATTGCAACTGTGGTATTGATCGGCAAAAAGAAATGAAATCAGCTGGAGTAATAAACTCCGACCTTTGAAAATTTGGCTGAAATAATGAAAAATGAAGGAAATATGTGCAGAGACAGAAAACTTCATTAGGAATCGAACCCATGACCTTCCATGTACGAATATAGACATCTTAAATTATAGCTATTTGGGAAGCTTGGGTTGCACAGCGATGAGAGTGCTCACCTCTCATCAATGTGACCCAAGTTTGAGTCCTGCTGGGTTCGGTTTTGTATGTGAGTAGAGTTGTTCGTTGATTCTCTCCTGTGCTTCGAGTGTTTTCCAGGTTCTCCGGTTTTGCTCCCTCACAAAAATCAACTCCTAAATTCTAATTCAATCACGATACGAGGGCCACAGGTTTGTTAGCCACTGGCTATTAAGTACTACCCTTGTGAAAAAAAGGACAGTTTATTTGTCTGGGTAACTGGGTAACTGGGTAACTAGGTATCAATATAAATTAAAGGATTTACTGAACTTTGACTTTTTTTAACTGAATTTTTAAAATAATTTTTCAATAGGTTTTGTAACATTTACTACTCCTGAGGAAGCTGCAATCGCAGCTGCAGAAATGAACAAGAACATATTGTTGACAAAGCAGCTGTCTGTAGTGGTACTACAATCAAAAGAGGAACGACAGGCACAACTAAAGGTGGAGTTTTCTGGAAACCAGCGAGCAAAGGAAGCTTCGACTTAAAGTTTTGTAAACAAATCAGCTATAGGAAAATCTTAAATGCCTGAATTAAAAATACAGAGTTTTTAGTTTAGGAAGTGGTGAGTCTCCAAGGATGGAGGCTCCTTCAAACCTACAAATGTTATTGCTACCCTTCAAAACAGCCTCTGTACTGATCAAAGTCAGGGTACACCTAATAGCTAATGTGTGTTAACCTAGTGTGTAAGGTTTTGTAGATGGAGGAAAAGTGCAGAACCCTGAAAAATAATCCTTGAATCAAGGGAGAGACCTAACAAACTCTTACAAGATGTGATATTGAGTCTGGGAATCAAACCTGAGATCCCAGAGGTGAGTGCACCCTTGATTCCCTAATCAGCTCGGAGAAGGAAGAGGGTGAAAAAGAGCAGAAGAAAAAAGAGACAAGGAGTAAGCTGACGAAAATATTAAGCCTTATTTTCTAAACAAAATCAGCTTTTAATTGTTTATGTTTTACCAAGATGCTGTACATTAACTAACAACAGTTTTCATCATATTAATGACTCACAAAAAATACCAGAATTAAGTATCATATTGTTGCTACTTATCTACACCCAGCGAGCCGTGAAATAAGACCCAGTATGTCATCCCGTGATGCCTCAGTTAGACGTATAATTAGAGGATTGGATTCAGATGGAGAGAAGTGTACATCCATAAGACAAGAGATCTGACTAAGTTTCTTTTGGAATTGAACTGTTTGCTGAAATTATAAAAATGATCATCAGTGTTAGTAGGACGTTTGTGGGTTTATAATTATACTACTAGCTAACAGTGTCCCAACACCCTATGCATGCTGATTTGTGCCTGGGGTAGAATTCYTTACTACTACCTGGAACGTAGTTTTTAGCGGAGGCTCATGTGAAGGGTCGGGGAGAATGCCCCAAGTCGTTGCATACCAAGCCTGAATTGCACTTTGGATGATGTAAATTGCCCTATYTTACTAAGAAGTCACTGCTTGTTTATGTGGGGGATAGAATTGTCAAATCCAATAGAAAATTCATCAAAATTTGCTCCTAGCAAAACAGTTTAATCTAAAATGGCCTGGTTTTCAGATATAATGTGTTAATATGTACTAAAAAATATTCTGAGGGTTTGCTGGCTATTCTACTTCTCTTCGTTGATTGATACGGGTTTTAGAACAATTTTCTGTGAATTTGCGTTGATTTGACCCCTTCTGACGACCATGATCCTTTGCATTTAAACAATGCATTGTTTTGATGTGATGTCATAGTGAAATAGGGCAATTCGAAATCAGTGAAAGGTCACAACAATATGAAAATTGTCCTAAACTTTGTCTGCATGTTTTTCTGGCATAATTTCTTGTGTGCTGACATCATTTACATATGAATATAATACATTTCAAGCTTGGTATGCAACAAGCAACCATCACCAACCTTTTTTAAAATAGCTTTGTAAATAACATACCTGTTGTAGAGCTTGGCATTTGATTGGATCACGATTCTTTTTTGCTTCAATCATGGTATACTAAGGAAGAAGCAGCCCAGAATTAATCATGTTAAGTCAGAATTAAGTAGTGCTTGTCTGGTAGCGGCCTTTTCTGCCCTCCTGACTTGTGGAAAGAAAGGGAAAAAATAACCTCTGCCCACTGGGAATAACTGCCCAGAGGCGTTTTCTGCGGTCTATTGACAGCTGTATGTAAAATAAGTCATATATAATATATATAAATAATGCCGGCCACATGGTATCATAATCTTATAATAAATTATGTGAGTTCACTCCAAAAATTAAGATTTTTATTAAGAATATATTTTTTGCATAAAGAAAAGGAAAAATTTGGGAACATTTCTTTATATCATTTTATAGTTTTATAGGAAGTTTTATACTGATAGTTTTGTAGAAATTTATGTAAAATTGATTATTTTATGAATGAAACTTAATTATCATAAATAAAAAAAATAAACAGTTTTTCACAAATGAAGACTTGGCATTAGGGCTCTTTGATGCAGGCTGTACATGAAATAACTCACCTGAAATGATTCTAATGGAGTGCCGAGTAGCTCTGTCAACACCTGTTTAAATGAGAAATGTTTACTTTGAGTTTTCAGAAACAGTGATGATGATGGTGATGATGATGATGATGATGATGATGATGATGATGGTGGTGGTGATGGTGGTGATGGTTGATGGTGATGATGATGATGATGGTGATGATGATGGTGGTGGTGATGGTGGTGATGGTTGATGGTGATGATGTTGATGTTGATGGTGATGATGATGATAGTGATGATGATGGTGATGATGATGATGGTTGATAATGATGGTGGTGGTGATGGTGGTGATGATGGTGGTGATGATGGTGATGATGGTTGATGGTGTTGATGATGGTTGATGGTGTTGATGATGGTGATGATGATGATGGTGTTGATGATGGTGTTAATGATGATGGTTGATGATGATGATGGTGATGATGTTGGTGATGATGATAAAAGATGATAATGAGATGATGGTGGCTAATTGTAATGTGATAAAGATGCTGGTGATGATAGCTGATGGTGGTGATTGTTATGATAATGATGATGATGGTGGAGATTATGATGATAGTTACCATCGTAATGATAAATTTTTTTACTAAGATCCATTCATTACCTCCTCTCCTAATGCCGCATCAATACTCGCTGATCCATCATTGACTTTAACAATCACCTTCCATCTCTGACTTACATCAGACACTTGACTGTGAGAAACTAACGTGGAGATATATCCCTGCAAGACATACAGTATCAAGAACCCACAGTCAAACCTTATTTATATTTAAGATGATAGACTCCAAATCTAGCGAATGAGTTGGTGGGCGAGGTATAAGTGCAAACATGACGCCTATAAACGCCTTGGTCATGGGTTTGATCCCTTGGTGGCCTGCCACTGGCCAAATGACAGGACAAATTTCAGGTTTGCCAGGCGAAAATAAGGATGCACTGTCAAATGAATAATAAAATGACATGCAAAATTTACTGGGATGACCTTTTACCATGCTCCTTTACTATGGCAGTGAATCCAGGGATCAAACCCATGACCAAGGTGTTTATAGGCGTCATTTTCTATGGATTCTTTGATTTTTCTCCCCCTAAAAATCAACTTTCATACTCCAATTCTATCATGTAATGAAGAAATAGAAAACATGCATGCGTGCAGTCATAAAACATGCTGGGGTTGGCAGAACAGGAGAGAAGTGTTAGGAGTAGCACTTCGACACTTCTCAAATGTTCTGCCAATCCCCAAGTGCTTTATTACTCCACATGGCACAGCAAGCAAGTTTTTTTATTTCTTTTATGAAATACAATTTGCAGGAATGAGGAAATTGGAAGCTGTGGGTGTGTGTGCTGTGTACTTTGATGAAGCACGTGCTCCCAACCAATCAGAAAAAGAGAATTAGAACAGTTATTTTATAATGACAGATTTGTTAGCCACTAGCTTTTAAGTCGTACCCTTCAAGGAAAAGAAAACCAGGGGACAATTTCTTTCTTCACGACTATATAAATAAAAATCCTCCATCATGTACCTTAATTCTAAAGGTCCTTTCTTCAAAAAATGGCTGATCTTTAAGAACCTGTGACAGGTAGGTAAATGGCAGTAAAGTCTCTGGTTCTTCACTGGTTTCTGCCACTGGAATATCTTTGTCTTCCTCCTCAACCAGGTCAACAACTTCAATGCGTTCCTTCTTCACAAATGTGTAGGATGAAGGTTGCAGTACGTTGAATTGTATTGTATTTTGATGTGGAAATTGGGTTGACTTTTTCATCCCAAATTTTCCAATAGGTTTTTTTCCCATATTATTTCCCATTTCACTTCTTATTTCACACTCCATAGAAGATGTACTCTCTCTATTGGCAGCATCATCAAATGCAAAGCTGTCATTATCAATTAACATTTCATCCCTCCTTTCAGTTTTAACCTTTATTGATAACGAACTCGTACTCTTTGGGCCGACAAGGTCCACAACTTCACTATTTCTTTCTTTTTTCTTGATTCCACTTGACGACAATTTTTTGTTTTCAAAATTTATAGTTGATTGATGAAAATTTGTATTCAGTTTTTTTAGCCCAAATTTTCCAGTTGATTTGTTTGATTGAGCTGTTGTCTTCTCAGATTCATTAAGAAAATCTATTTCATCCTTTATAACACTCCTTCCACTACGTTCTGTTGCATCATTTCTTCTCTCAGTAAAACCACAAGCCGTAGAAGTAATTTTCTTTGTCTCAGGTCTACTCATTGCTGTTTTCAATTTTTTGGCCATCGGCAGACAGTTTTTCTCAGTTGTACTTCGTTTTTCAATATTCTCAGTTTTGACAGCCTCTCTAGACTTCTTATGTCCAGAATCTATCTTAGAAAAAGCAACTCTTGACTGATCCAGATCAAAATCATCAAGATCAAAATCATTGTCYATAAAATCCTCCTCCAAAAATTCATTCTTTGTGTGAGAAGAATTAATTCTTTGATCAGGTTTACTGTTAGACTTGTGGTCATTGTTTTGTATGACTTCCTGTTCAATTTGGTCGATCTGATCAAGATCGAAATTCTCATCAATATTGTCATCGAAGACATTGTCTATGACTTCTTGTTCAATCTGGTCAATCTGATCAAGATCAAAATTCTCATCAAAATTGTCATTGAAGGCATTGTTTTCTATGACTTCTTTTTCAATCTGCTCAATCAGATCAAGATCAAAATTCTCATCTCCATTATCATCAAAGAGATCGTCACCATCAAACATATCTTCAACATCATTGTTATTACCGTTTCTCATCCCTCTGTTACTGCATGACGAGAAAGGTCTTTTGTTGGAATTATTTCGCACACCAGTTAATTTTCCTCTTGATGAGTGATTAATCTTTTCTCTTTGACCTGAGTTGGAAGATCTTCTTTTGTCTCCAGATCGTAGCATAGACCCACTTTTAGATACATAGGGCTGCTGGTATGCATTATTGTTGGATCTGAACTGGCTTTGGCCACGCATGTTATTACCATTGACATCTGTATGCAAGAAGGACTGAGTGTTTTCTCGGTCGTCAGTCTCTTCTTTGATATTACTAGAACACGTTGGCAGCTCAGGAGCAGCTTGGCCACTAAAACAAACACAGAGTATTATCAAAAATATCTGCTATTAATGATTGTAAATCAGACTTAATCAATACCTGAAGTTTGACAGTTAGGGTATCAATGGTACAGTTTAAATAAATAATGGGATCTTATATAGTGCATTTCACACACAATGCGCTTTAGTTTAGCAGTAATACATTTGCCTCTAACGTCTGGGAACTTATATTTGAGTTAAGTTAGTTTGGTCTCTCCCTTGATTCGAGGGTCTTTCTTTGGTTTCTCTGATTTACCTCCGTATGCTAAACCTAGCTAAGAAGCTTAACTTCCAATAGACCTGTGCTTCACTGACCAGGAAACAATGGTCAAGTTGAGGTTGAACTTGATGAATAATTGAATCAAGTTTAGTCTCAACTTCAAACCATTGTTTCGTGGTCATCCGAGCAAATTCTGGAAAAGTTTATTCAATCTGTGAGTTGGCCATGTTGGCCATTATTATCGTTATTATTATCGTTATTATCATCATCATTATCATTATCATTCACTATGTCCTGACATTGATCACCCAAGATGACGGTTCCTAATAATGTTACATGGAAGCTAGATTTGATAATTAAAGATATAATTAAGCACACTCCTTACATGGCATTATGCAAAACTTTCCACATTGGGTTTGTCTCCATTAGTTCCTCCACTGAACCTCCAAGGATGTGAACATTTTTTGATGCCAGTAATAATACCCCAAGCCGACATGAAACAGGCCCCTGGATCTGCACCTGAAGGGGAAGTAGAGAATAGCAAGATTTTATGATGTTGATGTTGAATACTGATGTCGATGATAACTACTGATGATGATGATGATAACTACTGATGATAATGATAACTACTGATGATGATGATAACTACTGATGATGATAATGATAACTACTGATGATGATGATGAGAACTACTGATGATGATGATGAGAACTACTGATGATGATGATGAGAACTAGTGGTAATCATGGTGTTGGTGGTGATAACTAGTGGTGATGATAACTGATGATGATGATGATGATGATGATAATAATACCTATTGGGGATGATGTTGTTGATGATAACTAGACTGATGATGGTCGGTGGTATTGGTGATGGTAGTGGTGATATGATGTAATGATGGTAATGATGAATATGATGATGACATTGATAATGATGATGATAATAGGTGATAATACATAGCCATGCTAGTATATATTTAAAAGAAGAAATCAAAGATTATACCTACCTTTGTTCCAGGTGCTGTAGACTGGTTTAAACAGGGAATTGATTGATATTCCATTGCCTGGATACTCTTAGACCCGTCAGTCATGTGAAGGAACAACATACGACTAGGCTTGATCTTTGGCTCCCACTAAGAGTCAAAGCACCCAACAATTGGAATTAACAACTACCACAGAACCAGTTATAGTATGTGGCTGACTTGTGACAGTATGGACTGAGGGGGGGGGGGGGGGCATAGCCATGATATCTCTTTTTATTTAGGGGAGGGGATCAAATTAGTTTTAGCTCAGCAACACCTTGTTTTTGGCTTAATGCTAGTGGCTAAAATGACCAGCAAGTGATTTCTTATAAATGTATTCTAATGAGGTGCCATGAATAGTACAATGTATAAATATATAGGCATGTAGACTTTTATTCTTACATTGTTGCTTGTGTTCTCTTTTTGGTTTTCCAGATCATCTTGGCCTTTTACTTTCTGTATCTGAGAATAGGCAGACTGGCCAACATCCATTAAGGAATTTATCTGCAAAGTATATTTCAGTGCTTTCTTATTGGGGGGTAAATTATGTGGGTTGATAAAACTCTTCTCCATGTTGGAGGTATCTTGCTCCATATTGTAGGTAACATCTTTAGGTGTGACTGGTGCTAGATGGACAGTGGACTGTGGCACAATTGCCATGGTCACTTCTCCCAACTAGCGCTGGTTAGGTGAGACCACTCCTCACACTCTGGTACTCAACCCAAAGTTATCACTATGATGAGTTTTAACGGGATTATATATTATCAAATCATAATACTTCACATAACTTTTCATGAAGTTTTTTGTTATCTCATGCTGGCAGCCATGTTGGATGACAACATGAATCTCATTTCCCAGAGGAATTGAATTGCTCCTCATGAAAGACGACTGATTTTTCCTGGTCATCTAACATGGTTGCTAATACATCTTGCCTCACCCTAGCATGCATATATAGCATTAACTATTATTAGCCCTGGCATTTGTATTGTGGAACTGTCTTAGGGGACATATTTCCAAGATGGTGTGTCAAAAACAGAATGCCAATTAAAATAGCGCTAAAATAGTTATTTTAACAACTTGTTTCATTCAAGTCTAGTTGGCTGCAAGCTTACCTGAAGTGTGTGCTTTCCTTGTAAAGTTGAAGCATTTTTTCCTGTGCCCAGAGTTGGAAGAGTTCCAAGACTTATCTCTTGAAAATCAGCCATAAGCAGCTGCTCATATACCAGGTTATTCAGCTGAGTTTGAGAAGAAAATCCTCCCTAGAATACCAACGAGAGAATTCTGTGAGAATCGCCCATACAAACGACCGTCTGTCCCACTTCCCCCCACCTGAAACGGAGACCTTTTTTAAAACATCAAAATAAATCAATAACCCAAGAATGAGCCATACCCTATGTTCCTGCTTCAAGAACTCAATACAAGCGTCCAGCCATTCTTTCCTTACGTTTACATAACATTTTTCTTTCAACCATTTCAAGCACTGCTCCTCACTGTATGCCGCCATTTTGAAATTCCCTCTTCAAAATTTACCACAGGTAACCCAAACCCTATAACAAAATGCTATTAAGAAACAAAAGTTTTTAAAATCCCATAAATTTCAAATAAATTGCCTTATGATACTTACGCTTTCTAATTAGGATTTTATTTTTCTTTTTATATAGATTTAAAATCACAATGATATAATTTAGCAGCGTTTTTGTTTAGATATTTCGGGCTCCCTGTGTGCGTGCGCGATGTCTGAACAGCATTCTGGGAAGCATCTCCACGCGCAAGGTATCCTGGGAAAGATATAAAATTTGTTTATTGGCAACTGGAAAAAGAAAATATTTGAAAGAAAAACTGAAAAATAAACAATATTTCCTTTCATTTTAACATCTCTTTGGACTTTTTGAAGGTACCTTGACATGCTTCAGTCAGTTCACTTGGTCGGAGAAGAAGAGGATGATATTTATGGCGGGTTTAACGACTACGAACCCGCCTTCGCAACCGAGGTAAACTTCGTTTTATTTTTCTTATTCCTCGACGCAAATATTCTGAATTTTTTGTTCTTTTTTGGTCAAATAAACCCTAATGTTAAGTCCACTCGATTTAAATGAGTTATATGCATATCATATGTATCAAAAATGTATCAATTCTTTGCTAAAAATTATTACTTGTTTGCGTATATAATTTTTCGTATTTCAATAAAGTTGCGAAGATAATCCGATCACAGCTTATGAAATTTTGTTCGTTTTATGTATAGAATTTGGAGGAAGATGAAGCGTTCCAACAAGCGCTAAAAACAAGCCATGGACAAAGACCAGGAGTTGTAAGTACCTGTATTATTAAGCTTGTTTGGTGCATGATTGAATTCCCTTGAGATACTTTATCTTACTACAGATAACGTAAACAAAAATTGTAAATAGCTTAAAATTTCTGGCATATTCAAATGACAGCTTTTTGTTTTTTTTCTCCTTAACAGAAAACGGGAAAGATGACAGCAGTCGGGGCTGTAAGTAGCAAGAGTTACCTGTTTATTGTTTATTTAAATGCCTTCATATCCTTCCCCCTCCCCCATGGGAACACAGTACCTACCAACTCTCCCCTCCCTTATTGTTGACATTTACCAATTCACCACATACCCCTCCTATATTGTTTAAATAATATTTGTAAAAAAATTGATCATAAAAATGTTTTTTTCTATTTGTTCATTTTTCATTCATTCATTTCTATTCATTCACTTTCATCTCAGAGAGGTAAGGTACCTGGCTCGTCAATGGGAAGACCAACAACTGGAATAGCTGCAGTAAGTAGAAGTGTCTATTTTTTAATATCTTACTATTTTTTATATCTAAAATTAACATAATTCAATCAAATGATTATAGGACACTTCTCAAGCCCGTCCAATGACAGCTGTGCGCTCGGTTGGATATAGCTCAAGTGGAAACAGAGGTGACTCAATAATTCATTAATTCGATAAAGTCAGGGCTAAAAGTAATGACTGCTCAATGGCTAGACAATGTCTGGCCTCATCAGACTGATTATAAACTTGTGACCAATCACTGTGACCTGTTAATGGGACTAGTCAAGAGGACCAGCCTGATAGGCAGTTGCTGATGAGGTGTCAATTTCAGCCAGACATTATTTTAGTTAATAGAACCCTTTCAGTATGTCAGAATGCAGCTCGATTTGGAGGACACAACAATAGGTTTCCAATTCTAATTCCAATATTCCAAGGGGTCTATAAAGTCACAAATGACTACTAATAGTACTTATAGTTGCATGAATTTTTGAGTAAGAAGAGTAAGAAGAATGATACTAAACCGAGACTTAATTTTACTTGAATGACTGTGTATTTTGTAGGTGTTGGAGGACAGTTTGACCCTCTTAATCAGACAAGGGGTCCTGCCCCACCCTTGGAAGCAAAGGCTGAAGATAGGTAATATAATAATTTTATGTTCTACTTGTTCGTCATTTAAGATTATTATCCACATATTATTGGCCTTTTGCAATGGAATTTTCAGTGATGAGATTGAGGGTTTTTTGGATTGGAATCCAGGGTTCTACCACATAGTATTGGTTCACTCACCTCTGGAGTCTTGGATTGAATTCCTGGACTAAGTATCACTTGATTTAGAGTTTGATAGATGAAGCGATAAGCCGTATGGGATGGACTCAGATATTATATAAGAACATGCGTAATAGGTAAAGTACAAGCCTAATATGAAACGACTGTAGAAGAGTGTCATTTACGAGGCCCAATACAGGCCGAAACAGCTATCCACGGTTTCTAGTTGAGATGGCTCATTTTTTACGAGACTTGAAGTTGTGAAAGGTTTGTATGGCACACTTCTTCAGTCGTTTCATATTAGGCTTGTACTTTACCTATTACGCATGTTCTTATATGATTAAGAGTTTGTTGGATCAATCCCTTGATTCGGGAATTCCCTCTGAATTCTCAAGTTTTCTTTCCTCTGTTAAACCCAATCGAAGAATTTTCAATGATTATATTTTTAATATCTTAAAATTAAAATGGCAATGAGTCAGAAACACCTACAATAATCATATGGCCTTCTTGTTTTAATACATCTTCAGTCCTGAGGAAAAAGTAAAGCAGCTTGAGAAGAAGGTGAATGAACTCATTGAAGAAAGCTGTATTGCTAATGACAGAGGTGACTTTGCCCTGGTAAGATTCAATGTCTCTCATGCCAAACAATTTAAAAGAGATAACAAAATAAACAGTACCGTCTATTCTCCTTGAGTAACATTACAAAAACGTTTTATCATTACTAACAGGCTCTAGAAAAGGCTAAAGAGGCTGGCCGTAAGGAAAGATCTTTATGCCGTCAAAGAGAGCAGACGTCACTAAGTGAGCAAATGAACCTGGATCTTACTTACTCTGTAAGTATTTATTGTGCAGTTATGTTACTAGTACACACAAAATGCCACTGATTAATGTTATTTGCTTGATGGCAGGTGTTGTTCAACCTGGCCAATCAGTACCACACCAACAAGATGTTTAATGAATCCCTTAATACCTACCAAGTTATTGTCAAGAATAAGATGTTCAGCAATGCAGGTAAGAAGATGTTTTAATAATGTCTAGTGTTGTTCTTGGTCAAAAATTACATTTGTGACCAAAAACAGTTGAATGTTCAGCAATGTATCTGGAGATCATAACCTTTGATTGTATAAGTTTGTTGCCATTATAGCTTACCACTCTTCTACTGCTATGCRCGGATTGAGACAACATTCGCAACAGGGAAATAGGGCAATACACTGCCGCCAATAAGAGAATATAAAGGTACCAACCAATTTATTTGATTGACGGAAGTGTAATGCCCAATTTCCCTTCCGTGACTGTTGTCTCAATCAGCAGGTAGCAAGAAAAGTCTGAGTGGTAAATTAGTGTCTTATATTTCTAATATGTTTGATGTAGGGCGTTTGAGGGTCAATATGGGGAACATCTACTTTGAGCAGAAGAAATACCCCCAAGCAATCAAACACTACAGGATGGCACTGGACCAGGTGCCAAACACCCACAGGGAAATGAGGTATTTAATCGATGTCAAAAAAAGCACAGCACTTTATTGATACCCTAAAGCAACCTCTGGGCTGATCTAAGTCAGGACTCTTTTTTCTGACCCTTCTCCCCATTTTACTTGAAGAAGATTTCAACCTAAAGAGAGGAAATGGTTTTGAACTAATGAAAATTTGTGTCCAACAGGATCAAGATCATGCAGAACATTGGCGTTGCCTTTGTAAAGATGGGACAGTACAGTGACGCTGTGACGTCATTTGAACATATCATGGTAGAGAAAGCTAACTTCCAAACAGGTAAATAGTGGTGGTGGTTACGATAATGGTTATAAAATTAATGTCAACATGATAGCAGTGAGGTGATGGTATGGTGTTCATTGTTATCAGGATGATGATGACCATGATGATGATGGTGATGTTGGTGATGGTGATGATGTTGTTAGTGTTGATGCTGTTTATAGTGATAGTGATGGTAATGGTGATGGTAATAGTTGACAATACATGGTTATAGTGTTAAATCTTGGCCARGCTTTGGATGATAAAGAGATTTATTCACCAAATTATATACCATATTTTAGGCTTCAATCTTATCCTCTGTTACTTTGGCCTTGGAGACCGAGAAAAAATGAAGAAAACATTCCAGAAGTTGCTTTCCATTGACCTTGGCATTGACGATGAAGACAAGTACACTGCCACACAGGTAACTGTCATTTATAACTAATTATATCACTATTATAATCATATAAATGTATATATTAATGATGATGATGATGATGATGAGGTTGATGATGATGAGATAGAATTAAATATTTGATTCATATCCCTTCCCCAATATTCTAGCACTTCTATGCCAACATCCTTATTCCTTTGAATTACCTAAATATTATTATTGGCGCATAATTATTGCCGATTTGAATCAGGGATTAAAAGTTTTTTATTGAAATATAAAATTATTATTGTTTGACAGGATGACAATCTACAAATGATGATCCTTGAGGTTATAAGAAATGATAAACTCAGAGAGATTGAGAGAAAAAAGTAGGTAGCTATATTCCTTGTGGTCATTTTTTCGCTCTCACTGATTCACACACTTCACTTATTAACTCACTCATTAGTTACTTTACTTGCACACCAGGTTCTTGACTCATTCATTCACTTTGGCATTCATTCATCCATCCATCCTTACAACCTACTCACACATTCATCCACTTAACTTGTCGTTACGATGGAGAGTAGGTGCCTGGCAAAGCGGTAGGCGATGGCAACTAGCTGGCAAGAGGTAACCATGGCAACCAAGCCACGGGTCAACCTCCATTACTCCTCTCCAAGCATTTAGTGTGGTGCTTGGAGTTGGTCGACCCGTGGCAGGAGCCATGGGACCGACTAACACCCAAAACTGCATCTCCAAGCACCAACAGTCGCTGCCTCTCCAGTTGTCACGCAAGCAGACACAACATCCATAGGTAGTGTGGTGTACGCGACTAAACCCAGGTGGCAATGGCTAGCATGAGGGCAAAATTGACAATGTACAAATGGTGGCCAAGCTAAAAGGATACCACTTACCAAAACTAAGCAAGTTTACCAGAGGCA